TAAAGACTGAATATAAGATTACATTTTAATTTTATGAAATGAAAATTTTAACATTTCTAAATGGCAACATTTTATAGTCTTCCAAATCTTCAAATATGCATGCCCCTTGATATAAAATACTCAACACTGAACACATATATACCTATGCAATATATAAATTATAGAAATGGTATGCTCTTTATGCTCTAACTAGTAGTTAATGCTTATGCTACCTATATGCTTCATTTATATTCAAATGATTCTTCCAGCTTTTCTGCCTGTGAGTTAGAGAAGTTATTTATACAATACCCGAGGAGGATAGAAAAGATATAACCAGATTGTATCTCTAAAAGCAGTTGCTTTGGGGAGTTTTGTGTACAAGATTTGTTTTTGATTTTATTGCTATTTTCACTGAACTTTTAAAATCACAATTGTATTGCCATCATTTCAGAAAAGTTTATAAGCTGTGCCTATTAGCAGCTAATTTCTTGTCTTTTTTTTTGTCTGCTACTCTAACATCTTCTCCTTTTAACTATACTTTCATTGGAGTAGTTGCCCAAAACATTTTCTAAAAACCCTGAAAAAAAATCTTCAAACAATACCTAGGTTTTTTGTTTTTGTTTTTTTTTAAGAATAAAATTTAGACTCTTCACTCAGTGTAAATGACAAGGTATTGCATAGCTGGTTACTAGTTGCCTACTATGTGCCATGAACTGTGCAGGTCCTGGGCAAGGATGGCTACTGTTGCGCACGCTGAAATGCACAGCCCAGATCCCCCTTAGGACTGAGACTCATTTCCAAAGCTGTTGGATTGATGGCAGCTGGTGGTTCATAGCTGAGTCCCTTTCTGGTAATTACTCTCAACTGAAGGGAACCTCTTCACCCAAGATCACACCTCCCTCTTGTGAGCGGCCTGTATTCATTGACTGGTTAATGCAGAGATCAAGGCCCCATTCCCTAGTTTCAAGAAATAACAACTCTGCATAGCCATCCCAGCTACAGACCAATCCATGGAACCATCAGAAGCCTTTGTTGTAACCACATTGTAGTTCAACTCCTCCATCTACCCAGGAACCTTCTGTATTTCCCTCCAGGTGTTGATGTCAAAGACACTCTTCAATCACTTCCCATGTGCAAATCTCTGAGCATCTGTTTCCCAGGAAACTCAACCTATCGCTGTGGCCCCGTTGGGGGAGAGAGGCGTGGGCTCAGTTTGATCATGGAGGTTAACATAAATCATTAAATCAAGTACATTATATTCAGTGTCATAGGAGAAGTATCATACAATATTACGGGAGTGAAAGAAGTGACTTATTTTGCTTGGACTATAGCAGAAGGAAAATTAGGAAAGGCTTTGCAAAAGAGGTTAACATTTGAGCTTCACTTTGAGGAATGAGTAGGTATTCCCTAGGCAAAAAAAGTGTGTGAGGAGTCTGCACTTGTAGAAGAATACAGCTTATTAAAGATATATATGACAGAAAGCTCAGTGACAGCTGGGAGATGGGGCCCATGGGGAAAGCAGTAGAGTTGGTTCCAGAGCCGGCTCACAAAGCACTCTATGAATTTTGAAGGTTCTAATGCTGGAGTGCGCTCTTCCCTGCTACCTTCCCATCTACCAAACCCAGCACCCCTACTCCACATGCAAGATGAGATTTGAGTAGATATCCTTGCAAATGTCCTTCTTCCACATTTTTGCTTGTGCATGTCTTAATTATCTTTTTTTTATTTTCTTGAAAAGTATTTACTAACTATTTCATTTTAACCTACTTTAGAAAACCCTCATGTTTATGTGAAAACTGCATCTTTTCATCTGGCTTTAAAATAACCTTCTGTGAAAAGACACAAAGATCACCTATGGTGTTTGAAATCCTAGCATTACCAATTTCTGGAATTCCAAGTGAGAAGACATAGTAAACGTTAAACAGTCCTAGTTTCAAACACATGACCCTTCCTTTCAAATCTCAGATGAGGGATTTTACGATTGTTTCTAGTAACAAAAACTGGGCTTTTCTTATAGTTGTTAACACTGGTATATCACAGAGTACTAAAATCACAGAGTTAATCATTGTTTTACAGACAAGAAACCTAAGGTCTAGAGAGAAGAAATTATTTACCCAAGGTCAAACAGTAGAAGTTGACAAAGCCAGAGGATAATTCACATTCCTTATCTAGCAGCTTTCCTTCTCTACAGCTATATAATGACTTCATCAGATTTCCCCCTCTCTCTCTCTCTCTCTCTCTCTCTCTCTCTCTCTCTCTCTCTATCTCTATCTCTATCTCTATCTCTCTATCTCTGAATTATTGGGAGTCAGGAAACTGTGCCACCAGTCCCACCTCTGCCCCTAATGAACTCCATGACCCAGGTCTAACTGCATCGGTGCTCCAGGTCTGTGAAATCAGATGCCTGGACTAGAGGGCTCTCACTGTCCTCCTCTCTGACATTGTAAGAGTCTTTACCCTTTCTCTAAGAGAAGATATATCTAAGGGTCATAGTGGACCAACTGGAGACTAGAAGAAGAAGAGTACAGTAAAGGGAGCTGGCTCGACAAGGTTAATATGTGTGTCCTTCTCCACCATTGCTAGCCTAAGCTTTCAGTTGGCTGTATGGCTGTATTCTTAGAACTTTGATTTTCTGATTTGGGGGCATTTTACAATAGCCTCTCTTTAGGCATATTTTACACTGTTTTTCCTTTGTAGCAGAAATGGCCAGGTTACCTGTCCTTTAAACAGTGCTTCCATAGACCATAAAGAATTGCCTTAGAAACCAATTCAACCTTATATGTTGCTGATGGTTTTAAGTAAATGGGCTAAATCTTACAGCCAAGCCTCAATGCAAACAAAAACATTCTCTGGTCAAGCATTTTCTGGTTTGTTCAACTCCATTATAGGGCTGCCTTTAAAAAAAAAAAAAGGAGTTAAAACCCACAGAGGAACAAAACACAAGTATTGAGAAGACAGTTTCCAGCCACAGTAGTTCAGATCACCGGGGTAGAAAAGTAGCAGGGCCGCCGTCATTGTCCAGACCATCGTCATCTCTAGACTCTCATATTATGTTTTTCTGCTATTTTAATGTCACCACTTCAAAATAGGGGAAAAATAGATTAATAGTTTCCATGAGTTTAGACTGTGACCAGAAGCATACTAAGCAATTTCAGAACCTCTGGCAACCGCAGCTTTGAGGAGAGGATGGTGATGGATTTACCGATTCATCTTGGGATGGATTCCAGAGTCAGTGGAGTCAGGCCAGCAGTGTGCTGCCAGGGGGGGGGGGGGGATGTAAACAGTATTCCTTCATTCATTCTTTATGCACCCATTCATCCTGGGCATATTTTCATTCCAGGTAGTATGCTGGGTATAGTGTAAGAAAGAGAAAGACATTCTTAAGATGTAGTCCCGGCACTTAAAGAAATTGCAGTCTAGTAGAGGAAGTAGACATATACACAAATGATGTGAATACTGTAAGTGCTGCAAGCAACATAACGAATGTGATCGGGACGAGGGGAGGAAGAAGCCGTTGATTCCAAATGAGGACATCGAGGAAGGCGTCCCTGCAGAGTCGCCTCCTGACCCATAGCTTGAATGGTCACAATGACAAATTGCGATTCATTCCAGGCATTAGCCAATACAGGAGTATGGAAGTGTCTCATAGATGTGCACAAGTGTGAACCGTCTGAGACGTGAGGGGAATCAGCCTAGGAAAGGAGGTGGAATGTCAGCTATGGAACTGGCTCGTTTTACACTGTGGAGCCATGTAAGTTTTTGCTAACAGGAAAATTACTTGGTCACATTTGTGGTTTGGAAAGCAAACTGGAAGTCACTTTGGGGATGGGGACGTATTACAGAAGAAGAGAGATGCAAATAACGGAAGCCCATCGGAGACCATCACTATAGTTGAGATATCAGCACACTAGTTATCTGGCCACAGGCACTTCTTGCCTATATTTAAAGGTTCTCATGGTGTGAGGGCAGTTGCTCCTTAATTTCCATATCCCTTCCAGTTCCAGGTGTTTTCTAGACTGTAAACTCAGTGAGTCAGTCCAGACAGCTCAGTTGAATATAGCATATTACACTGGAAACATGGCTGTTGGGTAAGAGAGAGTGGGATTCTGCAGAAGGATGGAAAGGTGACAGCTAATTTTATCAGTCTTTCTGAGTCCTGATTCAATAAATGGTGTCCCCCTTTAAGGAGATGTGTATTTGTAAAGCTCAGCATATTTTTAAAGCTAGGTAAATTAACTTCTTTAATTCACTTCTCAAAACTGGAGCCCCTGTCAGTTCAACATTTCCATTAAGAGTTCACAACATTGAACTTGGAGATGGTGTTTGAATCAAGGATTTTAATGATCAAAAGCCTCACTGATTGTGCTGTGCTCTGACTGGGGTCTGCAGCTAGCATACTCTATGAGTCTATCATCAGACAGACCGCACTCTAAAATGTTAGGGGCCTTTGTGACCCCACTAGGTCTTTGATGAGAAAGTAACTTTTAGAAGTAATAGCGAAGCATTCTTCCAGTGGAGAACCTGGGTTGTATAGTTCAGGGGTCAACAAATTACAGCCATGGGCCAAATCCAGCCTATGACCTATTTTTGTAAATAAAGCTTTAGTAAAACACAACCAGCCCGTTTGCTTACGTACTGTCTGCTGCTGCCTTCTCACTACAGTGGCAAAATTCAGCTGCTGCAAGAAAGCCAGACATATTTACTCTATGGGCCTTTACAGAAAAATTTGCCATCACCCCTGCTATAGTGGAGAGGAACAGAGGAAAGAGTCAAAAGATGTGTTTTAAATCCTACAGGTGCCACCTATTACCTAAGTGACCTTAGGGAAGCCACTTGATCCATCTGATTGTGTTTCTTCCTCTCGATATTAAAGATACACACTCCGTCTTCCTCCAAATGCTGACTCTGATAAGCGCATGAGCCCATGTGTCTGTAGCATTGCTTGTCATGCTGTAAATTACTGTGTAAATGGAGCGCCTCGAGTCCTGGCCTATCATTGGCATTTTTCTTTTCCTCTGCAGAATACCCTGGAGCAGTGCAGCGTATGCTCCAAGCCCATCATGGAGCGGATCCTCCGAGCCACTGGGAAGGCCTATCATCCTCACTGCTTTACCTGTGTGATGTGCCACCGCAGCCTGGACGGCATCCCATTCACCGTGGACGCAGGCGGCCTCATCCACTGCATCGAGGATTTCCACAGGTAGGCAATCGACTCTCCCTCCTCCAGCCTGTTGCTCTCTTAGAGTCTCTTCTCACTGCCTGGCATCTGTGCCACACATTCTCTCTCAGAACTACAGACTCAGGATTTGGTGGGACTTTACAAAGAGTTTATGTATCTCCTCATCCAATACAGGAATTGATAGCAGGCAGTCCATGGCCCCTGCTTCCAGCCTGGCCTCTGCTTCAGTGCTTCCCTGGGGCTTGTTCTTGACATCTTTGTGGGTCTCTCATTATGAGAAAGTTCAATCAGCCACAGAGTATGCGTCTTGGAAAGAGGCAGGACCCTGGGCTCGCCATTCCTGGCCTAAACATGAACAAGATGTGTGACACTGAACAAACTGCTCAGTTTCTCTGAGCTCTTCAGTCCGGTCATTAGACCAGACCCCGTCTTCAAGCTCTCCAGCTGTAACAGCCAGGGTTCTCGCTAGAGCCCCGGGTTCTCTCTGGGTCCCGCCACTCTGTAGATAGTAGGCGATAGGGACAGGAACACAGAGAACAATTCAGTCAATCTCACGAAGGCAACCCTCTCACTGACTCAGAGGCAGTTTAATGCCATCATCGGCCCATTCATACCCTCGCCTTGCCTCTTCTCCCACCCAGGACTTCTCTTCCTCAGGACATTTTCTAATGAAATCAATGAGTGCAGTATTGTGCCATCTTTTGAGGAGGAGTAGAAAGTAGAGACCCAAGGTCAAGACCATGGACTCACGGGCCTAGAAAAACGCGCCCCCACTTCCTCAGTTCTCTCATTTGTGCGGCCTGCTTTCCTCTATGATAATTGGGGTTTTCATGAAAATCGTATGGTTTGTGTTTTGCTTATTTTTATTAGACCAGTTTGTGAGTTGGTTAATTGGTTGGTCACATTTGTTACATATTTTTAGGAACTGAATGAAAAACTGTAGATGTGATTTGTAGACACAGCGACTTTCTAGACTATATTTGCTGGGCAATGGCTTTCCGGACAGTCTGAGGCTTTCAAAGAGATGAAGCTTGCATGGCTCACCAGTTTGGGTATCTGTCCTAGGGCCTCCAGATGTACAGTCTTGTGGGTTAATTTTCACTGCTCTGTTGATTGTCAACAACCAGGAGGTACTTGCCACAAGCAGTTTGGGGACCTGAGACTCAGAGTATAAAAATGAATTTCCTGACCACGTTGCAAGTTGCAAAGAAAGTGAAAACCTTACCAAAAGACATGAGGCTGATTGAATTTTAAAAAGCCAGAGGCAGAAATTCTCCACTTGAATTAGACAAGGAGTGTTCACTTCGAAAGGGCAGTCACAGCATAAATTGTACTTCACATTATTGGTATTTTTAGCTTGTAATTACACATGAAAAAAGAAAACCTGCATCTGTTTAAGGGAAGTGAAAAGATACCGATGGGGAGTGTGTTTCTATCACTGCTTCTCTCTTTGCTTAGACTTACTCTCATCTAAGAAAGAGTGATAGATAGAATCAGAGCACACATGTTACTGTTGCTGGGAAAGACTGATATATTACACCCTCAATTAAAACAGGAAATCAATTCTAACAAATGTAAGCTTGTATCTATGCCATTTATCTTTTATTTCTAGGAATGCGGAGCACAATTAGAGACTTGTGACCGGTGACATAAGTGTGTGGTTCGGAACACTCCAGAAAAGCAGGCTGGAACAACTAAAAAGGAAAATAATCTTGAGCCCCCAACTCTCTCGCCACCACCACTAATTCAGTGGCAGGTTAACATACAAATTATTAAAAAAAAAAACAAATGTGTGTCTGCATGATTAGCAAGAAGCTTTTTGATCTTTTCCCCATTTCCCAAAGGAAAATATAAGAACATTTTACAGAATCTGTTTCTGAGCCTTGAATATACTAGAACACAAAGCAGCCAAAAGTCCAACCCAGCCATTGAAAGGCCAAGGAGAGAGTAGATAGAGGAATATAGCCTCCTTCTGCAGACAGTTTTTTCAGAACCTGGTTCTTGGTCATTCTAAATAGGTGTCCCTTTGTGAGCTTTTAGGAAATGTATTTTAATTCAATTCAACCTCATCTGCAAAGAGCCCTCTGTGTGCCCATTACCGTGGTAAGTGCTAAAGGACAGTGATGAAAGGAGAGAAAAATCGCATAGGTGGAAATTGTCCAGATACACGAAGGGAAGCCATTGTCAGCAAGGAGCTTGTCAGGAGAAGGAGAGAGTAAGTGCAGAACATGTGTGATCTCGGGCAGAAAGGGCTCAATACAACAAGCGGGGCACAGGCAAAGGCTTGAGCCAGCATCAGAGAGATTACTTGGCCCTGGGCTCTGGGCAGGCTTCTGGAAGCAGAATTTCAAGAATGTTCTAAGTGGGAAACAAGGAGATTGTTGGCAGAAGGAGCAACTCGGACGATAAACAAGAGCATAGAGTCAGGAAAGTCTCCTCTATCTTCAAGGAAGAGGTGTGTGGCTGTAACTAGAGCAGCCTGGGAGTGGAAGCTACCCCGAGAGACACTGGAGGCCCATGAGAAGGAATTTATCTCGCCTGCTTACAATCCTGTCTTTTTTAAACCAGTGCTTCCCAAAATGAATGTGCTTCCGCATCACTTGGGGATCTCCTTAAGCTGCAGATTCTAATGGAGTAGGTCTGGGCTGAGCCCTGAATTTCAGCATTTCTGACTAGCACCCAGGTGGTCTTGGACTGCAGTTTGAGTAACAAGCTTCCGGACTGCTATTTGGGAGGCCTCGTTAATGGGCCATCCTCTACATAACCACCTTCAGTCAAGGTTGGCTTAAGTCCTCCAGCCTATTAGGTGGGAACTCTGTCCCAACTATGTCATTTTAGAGGACAGCTCATACTCAGTTCCTTGCCTACTGACTGTATCTCACCCCCAACACACACACACACACACACACACACACACACA